TTTTTTTTTTTTTTTTTTGAAAAATATACGATCAGTTTTCACGAGTGAAATCTATTACTGTCACATATATAGCAATTTTCACGAGATTTGAAAATATTAAAAATATTTTTAGAACATCTTGCCATTATTCTCGATCAAAAAAATTGTAATTAGATTAAATAAGAGTGGAACTCTTATAAATTTGAAGAAACACATTCACATGTAATTTCAATTTATATACAGTGACTTAGACAAAATCTGAAGACTTCAGGAATCATTCGACAAATACTTTTCGAGTCAAACGAAATGAAATTCCTTATGTAGTAAATTATGTAAAAAGATCGCGTATTTATTCCATGAATTTCTATGAACATGTATGTCACGTTTCAAATTGTAGAAAACGAAATGCAATTAAAGAACAAAATATAAATGTACGATTAAAAAACAAGATGTAATACAAAAGTATCGGGAAAATCTGAAGCGAGCCAGAGCGAGTTGGAAAATCTCCCAGAATCAAGCAAAACGAAACTCTCCATTATGAATCCGAGAAAATATTTTAAACGTTTAACATTTCTCGATCTCTTAATTTTCCGTGAATCATTTATTAACTTTATAACTATAATTCATTGTGTAATTAACAGAATTATCACCGTAATCAAAAATAATTTTAGCATCCTGTGTAATGACGTGCTCATGAATTCTATACTGTCTATACTAAAATCTTTCAAAGATCGTTCGCAACTCCTTGTCCTTCGGTCGTCAATCAACGAAAAATCACGGATAACCTGTTGGAAACAGGGGCGTAGCTGCGTTCGTGTACACCAGAACGTACTTCGCCTGTTTCGCTGGGCTGGATATTAGCCTCGAGTGAATTAACAGGCCGGAATCGGGCCGACTAGACTGTTCCAACGCAGCACGCTGACACAAGTTTCAGCTCAGACGATGGCCGAGCAGAGCACGAGACAGACTGATTGCGAGTAAGAAGAGAGAAACGGAGAGAGAAGGACAAAGAGAGACACGAAAGATGATAAAGAGCCAGGCAAATGGAAGGAGGATTAAAGAGCGAGTGAAATGAAAGATAGAACAAAAAGTGAACAAAGTAAAGTGATAGTAAGTAAGTAAGTAAGAATAATAAGGAGCAAGAGTGAGAAAGGGAAGGGAGGCAAGAAAGACGAAAAGAGAGAGAGAGAGAGAGAGAGAGAGAGGGCGAAAACGGAAGACGGCGAGGTGGTTAAGGGAGTGCACAAAGCCATTTCTGTTGAGAGGGAATAGAGTCATGCTCTGTGCTCTCAGACATCGTCAAGCTGCATTATGCGCGGTGCATGCGATGCGTATAGACTGCCCAGGGCCGTATGAATCGGTTTGCACAACCTCCGGGCTCCGTTCTCCACTTCTCTCTGTTCACCACGATCTCTCTCCTCGCCCTTTGGCATTCGTCGTATTTGCGTCTCGTTTTGCATCTTCTTTCCCAGTATATTTCATATTCCAGTCGGAGAGAAAAATTTACAAGGAGCGGGTCGACTCCTCTGGACTGGGGGGGGGGTGAGTTCAACAGCCCGCTGTAAGAGACCGTGTCCTTAGAGGAACCTTAAAGGAATACAGAGCCAATGCTCGTGAACAGAAAAGTCCTTCGAGAGGAGGACGAGGTAGAATTGACTTTTCTTACCTTTTGCGGATCTTCGCCATTCCCTTTTCATTACTAATAATCTACATTTCCCTCTTTATGTTTTTTTCTCTTTTTTCTTTCTTTCTTAGATGAGACAAAATAGGGTTATTCGAGCGGAAGTGAATAATTTATCTTTGGTCGTTCGCTGGATTTGAAATTGCAAGCACGAAAGATTAAACACGGAGTAGCCAACTATTAGAAAAATGTGAAATATACAGTATGAGAAGTTTATTTCTATTTTCTTTTCCTTTTTTTCAAAATTATTTTCATTATTTAAAGTCGTGTCGACCACTTGTATGGGTTATTAGCAACTTAGAACTTAAATCTTAGAATTTATTACAAAATTGAAATGTCTATTAGTTTATCTGTAAAAATGTATATTAGTTATACTTTAAATGTCTATTAGGTCTATCTTAAAATGTCTATTTGTTTTAAGGTCGATCTTTTATTCTTTTGCTTAGGTTTTATTCAGTTGATTATTCGCGGTGAATTTTCTGTGCTGATCAACAGGAAAATTTGCTTAGCTACTTTTATTAATTGCTATACTTTCAATAATTAACTACTTAACTGATTGTCCATTATAATTATCATAATTCTACTGTTGACAAGTGTCAATTACCAGAGACATCCGAAAGTGAAATATTTCCGATTATACGTAGTGAAAGTTGTTGAAAGACTCTCTACATGTACTGAAAAATTTAATGTTTTCACCTCTATAGATAGTTTCATTAACACAATTCTGAGTGATACACCACTGCCAGGTGATATTCATTTGTCCAACGAATTTTATATATTAATAATTATTGAATTCATTTCAGAACGTGAAGCAGCGTGTGACACATCATTTTATTTATTTGCTTCATTTATATTCGATTATTCATTATTATTATCACGTTGTATAATTTATTCAATAAACGTTCAGTAATTAATCGAATTCATTAATACCTCCTTATTATTGAATCGAATAATTCTATCGCAGAATTATTTTTCGAGTTATTCTCTCCTCTTTGATATTTGTTCTTCCTGTACTCGCGCTGAGAACGATATCTCCTCGTTCATCTACACTATCTCGTAATGGACGTAACAAGCCGCAGTCGCTAGGAGACTGGAAAAAAATATTGAATTTCAAAACGTCAGATCTCGAGTCATTACTTCTTCCCTCTCTTTTCTCGACCGAGCCGAATCGAGATAAGAAGAAGAAGAGAAAATAAATTCGACAGGACGGCATTAATCCAGAGGCGACTTTGCCGAGCTTTTTGTCCGACTGCAACTTCCCACTTTCCGGAACATAAATCCAACGGAAGGAGATTTACAGCGACGAGCGCACGGAAATCGAAGCTTTCTTCCGCGTCTTGGAATCGGGATTTGCCCAGTTAACGGTCGACCATAATCGTTAAATCGCACCTTTGGACGCCAGCTGTGGCTGGAGGAACTGTCACCCACGAAACAACGTGTTATTAACAATGCAGATGAAAGCGCGACGTCGTTCCGTACGCTTTTATTTATCGTTTATTTGTCGAACGCTTTTTCCGAGCGTCGCTGAACG